TAATATTACTATACGGTGGTCGTGTACTTAACTATTTTTACCTAATTAGGTATATTATAAAGGTAAGATCTTCCAGTGGGCGTTAGTCGAGCGGGGGGGGGGGGGGGGGCGCGAACGCTACCCTAATATTCTAAAAAAGTTTGTATGTTTGTTTTTGAATTCGCGCAAAGCTACACGAGGGCTATCTGCGCTAGCCGTCCCTAATTTAGCAGTGTAAGACTCAGATTGAGAGTCGAGCGCCCTAACCACCTGGCCATGCCAGGCTCCGCTTTTGTATAGAAGAAAATGTCCACAAATAATTTAGACCCCCCTCCCCCATACACACACACACTGTAGTTCTAGCTACGCCCCTGCGCTCTTAAGATATTTTAATTATTAACATGACGGAAACAAAATATATAAAACGTGTCTTTGAAGTAATAGTTTAAAGTTTCGACAGCTGCTAGAAACTATGCCTAAAATTAAGTACAAATTCACAAAAGACAGAATAACTACAAAATGAAAAATGTAATAAGTCACTGAATAACAAACACGAAGAAAAGACACAATTTTAGTTTTATCAGAATTATTTTTTAATATATTTGGTGTAGATAGCATGAATCCAAATATTTTTGATAAGTTTTTAAACATATGAAAGCCGTAGATAAAGTAAATCAATGCGAATTATTTTTTATTGGATTTTGTACAAGAGCGTAACTATAATGAAACATACAAAAAACAAACGTAAAAAGTGATCGTATGAATTTAAATATTCAAAGCAATGTATTGGATAAACGTTCCTCCTTTTCCGTCTTAAAGCCTGAAAAGTCGTCTTCAACAGGATGTTGAATAATCACGTTTACGTTTCACACTTGTTTGTGTGTGCGAGTGTCTTATAAGTTAAAGAACCCATCCAGGTTTGGTTTAACTTAGCAAAAACATAATTTCGTTTTTCCTGCATCAAAAAATTACATATCGATTAGTGCTAGTTGTTTTTTCTGCTAACAAACTATATACAGACGAGGGCTAGTCGTTTTTTTTCTGCTAACAAACTATATACAGACCAGGGCTAGTCGTTTTTTCTGGTAACAAACTATATACAAACCAGGGCTAGTCGTTTTTTCTGCTCACAAACTATATACAGACCAGGGCTAGTCGTTTTTTTCTGCTAACAAACTATATACAGACCAGGGCTAATCGTTTTTTCTGCTAACAAACTATATACAGACCAGGGCTAGTCGTTTTTTTGCTGCTAACAAACTATATACAGACCAGGGCTAGTCGTTTTTTTCTGCTAACAAACTATGTACAGACCAGGGCTAGTAGTTTCTTTTGTTTACAAACTATATATCGAAAAATGATAGTCGTTTCTTGTATGCTAACAAACTATATATAGACCAGGGCTAGTCGTTTCTTCTGCTAACAAACTACATATATACAAATGTTAGTCGTTTCTACTGCTACAAACTACGTATACACAAGTTATAATAATTTCTTCTATTAACAAATTAGACATTGACAAAGTCAAGTCGTTTGTTTTGCTATCAAACTATACCAAGGGTTGAATAGATTATATTGAGATGAATTTGAATAAGCATATTACTAAGTTGCGTGACAGCACCGCCCATATAAAGTTGTGGTGGAACGACATGTATCAGAACCACATTTCGACATTACTCGGTGTTTTGCACATAGCGTGATACCACTGAAAACCGATTGATTTAGGGAAGGGTATGTAAAAAGCCCTTTCCGACGCAAAATATTTATACTTTCAGATCGTAAAGATGTGTTCAGATCGGGAATTTCGAATTTTCAAGACAAGGATATCCTTTGTATTTAATGGCATTGTAAAATAAAGAAATATGTGTCAAATTGAGTCACCAATACCACCCAGAAAGAGACCTGCAACAAGTCGTAACCAAGACGTAATACAGCGTTTTGTAACAGGTGAGAATACATGCACACAAAAATCAGTGACGAAAGCCGTCCATATGCCTCAGGCAAAAGTACGCAACACAGTCAGAAAGGATCTTCACTTGGAAAAGCGACACAAGTTACGTATATACGAGTTGCTTCCATAACATATCTGTTCAACCGTATCATAACTCGAGCGGCTGGAGAATGAAACGGACATTCATGCTATTCCATACGAAGACATACCGGTCAAATCGCCAGACGCGGCGTCTATGGATATATATATATATATATATGTACGTTTGGAGTGTTGAAACAGGCGCTGGTAAATTTTCGTCCTCATACACTAGATGGCTCATGGAGAGCAAGCAGGGTGTAGTGGCGTACTTTTGACATGACAGCCTTACGCCTTCTGCAGCTGAAACTACATTGCAGGGTTATTGCCAAGATGCACGACTGTCAGATAGAGTATGACTAGATGGGTCGACATGGACTGTAACGATTTCGCGAGTCTCCAAAATTGCTTTCCACGTATTCCCTACCTCTATATATAAACAAGCGCTAATCGGTTCTTTTTACTGCATTATTTTTTGGTATAAGGAAAAAAGGAGTACCTCCCTTTCCCAACAACAAACTAAAGTCTGCCTTAACCCTGTCGTTAAAATACCTAATACTATTTAATAGCGATTTTTTTGTTTTTTAAAAATGGACATTGCATTGCGTTTTTTTATGCTAATATTTAAGTCTACTTATTCTTTAACGATCTCATTCTGGATCCAGGACGAAACTGAAGTTAAAACAGGATATAGGAGTTTCATCTAAATTGAATTTCACACCTAAATATTAGACTACTAACGGAATTCTGAAAAACAACAACAACAACCAAGAGAACTCGGGGAAGACTCTCTCTGACAGTTAGGACTCAAGTAGACAAAGGAACATCTTGATTACTGTTCAAAATTATCAGATCTCCTCATTGGTTACCAATAACATCACCACTTCTTGATTGGTCTAACGAGTTGTACCTTCCGAAGTCATGATTTTCTTCCAACCTACGTTATGCTAAATGAAAATGATACGAGGCATACTCGAAATAAAAAAAGTTATAAGCTGTATTACATTGCGGGCTTATAACGTTAAAATCGAAGTTCGATACCCGTGGTTGGCACAGCACGATAACCAATTGTGTAGCTTTGAGCTTAATAAAAAACAAACAAATAAAAAACGATATTATTGCTTACATATATATATATATAGTTTGGGTGATAACTTGTAAGATAGAGAAAAAAATCACTCTAAAACAATACAGTTTATTTTTATCTTGTACCCTACTTGCCTACTACAGCAGCCTTTTAGTGATGTTCATATTTCATTAAGGCGTTAATTAGTAACTAAGCACCAGGTCATCACTCATAGAAGAACGTATCGAACCAGCCCTATACCCTCTCACACATAATTTTAGTGATTCTATTCCTACCATTATCCATCTCAGATTCACTCTCGCTCTCATTTCAAGGCGTTTTTAACATTTTACTGTAACACAAGCGTAGCAAGAATCACTCGCGAAAGATAATGAGTCAAGTATTTAAATTTAGCCCACTTCTCAAAGTCTGGCATTCGCTAGCTTTCAAACCTGCACTTCAAACGGCGGGGTTTGCTTTGAATTAAAAAACAAAAACAACTTCCAATATCTCGTAACAGGCTGTTGTTCTTTTACGGTTCCGGTAGCAGTTCTGACACTTTAATTAAAGTTCCTTTTGATACATATAACTCGCTTAAAAGAAATAATACTCTATCATCGGCCGGAACTAAAATTTTACCACAGAGGCGGTTATGTGAAGAAAATGAGTAATTACGATGTATTTAAAAAAGATATATGTATGTAAACAACATGTATTGTGGCCTATTGTTCTTGCATATTTCCGATAATTGACTGGGAATACAGAACACGAAATTAGAGAAAGTCAGAACCTATCTAAAAAACAAAATATATAGACAAAACTTTAAATATTTGTCCAAATAATAGTTCTATATGAAAATGTGTGAATATTCTACTGTTTGACATTAGTAAGAAATTTATCTTAGTCCTAAGTTTGTATACATCTACTAACCAACACTATGCACTTTGCTCATTATGTCGCTTATAACATTTAAGTCTTAATTTACGTAAACAATAGAAAACTTTTATTTTTTTTTAAAAAGCTCAAACTGACAGAGCATGCGTAAACGTGATAGAGTAACATCAATTTTTTCACAGTGAAGGTTTTAGGAAATTTGTTAACTTAGAATATTCTCTCTGACCCTACGAATACGGAGAACAAGACTGAAATGACTAAACAATGTATTAATTTGGCACATCTCACAATATAACTATATGTATTAGAAATAAAATACCCCCCCCCTCCCCCAAGTGTTGTTTCTCCTACTTGATGCCGCAAGCAATCACTGAGGAAATTACATGCTCAAGAAAAACGATAATACAATAATGAATGGTTTATTTCGAGTTGTATCCAAAAGCGGATCCTTTTTTTTTTCCAATAAAAGAAAACCCACACTCGGAAATTAAAATCTATGACTTAAACTGAATAATAATAATAATAAAAACAAAATGGGGTTTTAACGGACCTTATGAGCAGTAGTAGTATCAATGTTCATTTGAGCAACGACCCGGCATGGCCAGGTGGATAAAACGCTCGACTCGCAATCTGAGGGTCGCGGGTTCGAATCCCCATCCCACCAAACATGCTCGCACTTTCACCCGCGGGGCGTTATAATGTGACGGTCAATCCCACTATTCGTTGGTAAAAGAGTAGCCCAAGAGTAGGCGGTGGGTGGTGATGACTAGCTGCTTTCCCTCTAGTCTTACACTGCTAAATTAGGGACGGCTAGCGCAGATAGCCCTCGTGTAGCTTTGCGCGAAATTCAAAAACAAACAAACAAATTTAACGAAATTAAATTTTGTAGATGAAACCTTCATTTTATTTAATTTTCTAAGAAAAGGCTAATACTTAAGATTTTAGCCTATAGATTTTTTCTTGGCTGACTGAATTATATATTAACAATTCAGTAAAGAATAAGTAAAATGTTAAATAAGTAAAAAAAAGACGAAAACTACTTCCACGTGTTCTTCTCTAACAACTAATATTAAAAAAACTCGAAATTTCACAACTTTACACTAAGCCTAAACAGTGTTTGCGGAAATTTAACACAAATTACGCCACCTGTAAAAAATATGTGCAACTTTCACACAATTAACGCTATCCCTTAAAAGTCTGTGTAAAAATTCCTTGCAGTTAATGCTATCCCTCAACAGTGTGACAATTTCATAAAATCAGTGCTATCCCTTAATAATACGTCAAGAAATTTCACACGAATAACGCTATCCCTCAAAAATTTCACAAAATTGGTACTATCCCTGACCAGTAAGTGAAGGAATTTCACACAATTAACGGTATTCCTAAACAGTGTGTAAAGAAGAGATAAATTATTTTTTGAAAGATAGATTGATACAACGAATCAACTCACTTCCAAAAATTCATTCAATGCATCACTGCCCGAAAACAAAAAAGAAGAGGTCAAGGTAGAGGCGCCGCTAGGTGCTTAAAAGATTCGGGGCTCGGTCCCACAGGCGTGGGAATTTTCGGCGTTTCTGTATGATATCGATCATGGTTTTCGATTCTCATTTTTCAAGACACCAAATGGGGATTCGGGGCACTGTCAAATAGAATCGGAGCACAGGCCCCGTGTGCCAACGCCTAGCGATGCCTCCGGATCAAGATTTAATCATATTTTTCAGCTTACCATAACAACAACTTCGGAATGATCATCGTCTGAATTTAGTGCGTTCCACACCAGGAGGACGAAGAATAGGTAGAAAACAACAGAGAAAAGGTTCCGTGGATCCGTAAAGGACTCCACAAGAGGTATAGTCCCCATTGTCCAATCACAGCACAAATCGCAAGGGAATAACATGAGCCACGCGTTAACTGGTAGTAAATAGTTGTACGTCAACTGTCGTGCTGGAGTTTCTGCCACAGCGGCTGGATTGTCAAACCTATTGAATACATTAGAGAAAGTTATAATTCCCATACTCATTGTTTTCATGATTCCATTTGACTTACTAGCGTATAGCTAAAAATTAATGTTTTTCTCAACAACTTATAATATAGCAATAACACACAAGGCCTGATATCTGAAGAAACTTTTGCTGGAAGTAGTGCTTATGAGGGGGGGGGGTCATTTAGATGCAAAAAACCAAGGGATGTCAAGGGGTGCAGTAAGCAATTAAAGCTGTATTAGCGAGATGAGGCCGTGACGACACAAAACAGCAGAACAAAAAGAATTATGTGCAAGCGAACGTTAATAGATTACATTATCTTGGTCTGTAACAACTTTATTTTATGTATTATGTGCAAGCGAACGTTAATGGATTACATGTATCTTGGTCTGTAACAACTTTATTTTATGTATTATGTGCAAGCGAACGTTAATAGATTACATCTATCTTGGTGTATGACAACTTTATATATTTGATTTAAATTTTATTGTTCATTATTATAAATGTAACTTTTATTCAACATATATATATATCATCTAACTTCAAAATAATTATTCGCATTTAGTTCTAAGCTGGAAATGGAATTTCCCGTTTAATTTTGACGTAGATAATTCACGTCGAACGACAATTACGTTACATTTAACATATTTTTAGTTTCGATTATTCGCGAAAAGCTACACAGTTTATCCAGTCGACTCTAATTTTGAATTGTTGTCAATATCAAATAGTAGGATCTGACCATAATTCTTATAACGCACCCACGGCCCTAAGGTGTAAGGAGTTAGATTTTACAGCAACGGGACGAGAACCATGGGCCCCCAGATTCTCAGTCCGGCATCCAAGTCATAGAACATGTCCGACCCAGGACCTTAATGATAGTAAATGAAGTGGCTTTATTTTACCACAGTTTAAATTATTTAAGTTAGAATTGACATTATTTTATGGGAACTTGCCGGAAATATCTGCTAATTAATAAAAAGTTCCTGTATGTAGGCTGACAAACACGCGCACATGTTGGACTTCAAAATATCTTATTTTTACTCAATTTAAAATCAGTGCTATCTATTTACAATGATTATCTTAATTGTATTTTTTATTTAATCAGACTTGGACACCTACGTTAATGAAGTGAAGACTAGAAATGAAAACAACAACAATATATATATAGACGATAACTACAGCAAACTTAAAGTTCGGTGGGCAAATTACTAAGGTATTCCAGTAACATCAAATCGATATCAATGCGTCTTAATCAGGAGGAATTTACATGAGTATTCTTTTCAATTTAGTTTTGGCTGTGATGTTAACATGTTTAACAATTATCTGAGAATATCTTTTAACACTTACTTGGTGAATACAGGTAGTTGGGCGCCCATGACCTTTACCCTTCCGACCAATAGTAACAAGGCACTACCAACAAGTATTACCAGACGAATCACAGCTTCTCGAAGCCACGGAGGAGGCGGGGATTTGGAAGTCATCAGATTTTGGAATATACGAAGAAGGTCTGGAAGCCGTAACTGGATTGAACAGAATTAAACAAAAAGTCAAATGACTTAAATACACTACATCGTTTTAAGTCACTTTTCTACCCGCAGAAAGATTTACAAAGTACCTTGTTTCCAAACAAATAGTCAGAGAGGCCCCCTATACTCTCACTAAACTTCTGTGACGAATCTAGATTTGGCGAGAAGTTGATTTCACTTCAGTTTTAACTTTAAAATACTGATACTTTTAATAAATAATGACAACGAACTTAGTGTTCCCTTTAGCGCAATCAGGGGGCCTTGTTTAAAACACACATATCTTGAATGATGTTAAATTATACAGGTATTGACACGCTACAATTATATTTCAATAACTATCAACCTAAATTTGCACCAGGAAGAAATCACATACATGAAGAAAACTTCCCTAAAGATAAACATCATACACACGAGGAAAACTTCCCTAAAGATAGACATCATACACCCGAGGAAATCTTCCACAAGGGAAGAAATCACACAACAGTGGAAATCTTCCCTAAGGGTAGACATCATATGCATGAGGAAATATTCTCAAAAGGGTGGCATCAGACACAAGAGGAAATCTTCCCTAAGGGTAGACATGAAACACAAGAGGAAATCTTCCCTAAGGGTAGACATGAGACACAAGAGGAAATCTCCCTTTTAAGCATATGCCGTTTTTATGAATAAAGTATTTATTTTATGTTACTATTTTCAGTAATGGAATAGGTGAAAAGAATGTTAAACATCAAGGTAATGAGTGCCATAATTGATATCCCCGTTATTAGCCTCATGTTCAGCAAATTACTCTCACGTGAACAACCAACAAACAAAAACTTTAAACATTCTGGAAAACATTTAGAGCGACATACCATATTGGAGTGTTAAATAATCTAATTATACGAATAATTATTAGATATACATTTCTTCTAGGAAAATAACTCGTATCCTTAAACAGGTTATCGTGCTCAGATTTCAACCGCGCGAGACGTTTAAAGCTATATTTTTGTGTATGAGTCAATATCAAAATAGTAGGACCTGACCATAATTCTTATAACGCACCCACGGCCCTAAGGTGTAAGGAGTTAGATTTTACAGCAACGGGACGAGAACAAAGGGACCCCAGTCATTAATTATATGGAACTGTACAACCTTCCAGCTCAACAATGATTGGTCATTACTCTGTACTCAACCAATCCCACTAATAGTTTTTGTTTGTTTGGAATTTCGCGCAAAGCTACACGAGGACTATCTGCGCTAGCCGTCCCTAATTTAGCAGTGTAAGACTAGAGGGAAGGCAGCTAGTCATCACCACCTACCGTCAACTCTTGGGCTACTCTTTTACCAACGAATAGTGGGATTATAATACTACCACGGCTGAAAGGACGAGCATGTTTGGTGGGACAGGGATTCGAACCCGCGACCCGCAGATTACGAGCCGAGCGCCCTAACGACCAGGCCATGCCGGACCCGCTAATAGTCATGCATATTCATGGGAAAAACTTTTCCTAAATCTAAGTTCTTGTAACTTTTAACTGTAAAAACATGTTCAAGATGGTTACCAAATTTTATGAGACTAATTAGGTTTTAGATTGACTCTAAATACATTGACAAAGTCACAAACGACGGAGCCATATAACACATGTGGTTTTTACCTTTAGGCTCCAATTGTATAGTTTGTTTTGGTATTTATCAATTAAACGAGTAAATACCGACACAACAAAACCACACAAATAAGAATATATGTTATGCATGATTATACACAGAACGAATTATACAGTCACTGTATTTTGGAACAGGAAGTAATAAAACATACCTGCTATTTAGGGAATCATTTTCCTTACCCATTTTCCTGTTTACTCGGAATGAGTTTGATTAGAAAGCCATTAAGTTTTATGTAAACGCCCACGTTCTATAAGTTTAGGTGAAATCTATTGAAATAAAGATGATTTTTATTTTAAAAAGTTATGAAAAATGGTGACCTCAAATGAGTAGGTTAGAGGAAACATCGTGGTTATCTAATGTATATATATATATATATAAACGGTTATGCCCCCTTCCTTAATGTGTGGATGATTGCCTCAAACATTGAAAACGAAAGGCTTACGTTTTATAATAGAAAATATCCTGCGTATTTGTATACTTTAACTAATAACAGCTCAAACATTGAGTCTAGTAACTAAATGAAGTGGAAGAACGTGTTTATAGCAATACACGGTTTCCAAAATCTCTTGTGGGTAACTCTCATTTAAGAATTACCATTCATTAGTTTGTGCTATCACATGCCCTGGGGACAAACCTCAATCAATGCTCTCCGGACACAGTGATGCAAAGTCAGAAGATGTTATTCATTTTCCTTGTACGTCTTATCACGTGTGATAACTGCACGACGGTCGCCTGTACAAGCTTTCAAGTGGCATAAAGAGAGAGAGAGAGAGCACGTGTGATAGATAGTTCGCAATCACCGAGGTCCGGCTTTAATTCCCATTCCCAATCTTCTTATCCTGTTACCAATCAGTAGTAATACTCTTCTGAAGAACTATTTGTCTTGCGACGACACGCCCTCTGTCGGTTTCGAGTCAAGTCAATCTGGTGACGGATGATGATAAACAACGTTACTTACTAGTTTGTTCGTGCCCACCCAAACTTTTCAGTGCGGTTATTTTCATACATTAATAATGAGTATTCCAAACACTTCTTCCCCCCCATCCTGTTCGCCCCCCTCTCAAATCGTCGCGTCTCATCAGTTTTTGTAATTTGCCGAACACGAAACTAAAGAGCTTTTTAAAGTTTAAACACAGAATAAGGCCTATCGTTAATTTTGAGGGCGCAACCGCACGCGATGGCGATAACTGTCCCAGGTGTGGGCACTACAAAACGATATGGGATGATTAACTAGCATTAGGGCAATGTGTGATAAAACAGGGACTGTTGAGTTTCGTTTTTAAGCAAAATATTTCAAAGCACAAGAAGATTACATAAGCCATGCGTACTTCAATATTAATCAATAATGGCAAAAATGTTCAATAAGGGGAAATAAGTACACCAAACTCCAGAAGGTGTTATTTTATCAGATGAACTGCCCTATAAACACGTCAGCAGAATTCTTAGATTCTTCCATTTTTACTTCTTTTTTTTTGTTGTTGCCAAATTTAAAGTGTTGAATGTTTGTTTTGTTTTTGAATTTCGCCCAAAGCTACACGAGGGCTAACTGCGCTAGCCGTCCCTAATTTAGCAGTGTAAGCCTAGAGGGAAGGCAGCTAGTCATCACCACCCACCGCCAACTCTTGGGCCACTCTTTTACCAACGAATAGTGGGATTGACCGTCACATTATAACGCCCCCACGGCTGAAAGGGCGAGCATGTTTGGTGTGACGGGGATTCGAACCCGCGACCCCTCAGATTGCGAGTCGAGCGCCCTAACCACCTGGACCCCAAGTGTTGAATGAAAAATAATATATATAATAATAGTATACAGCTGAACCTTACTCAACAGATGGCTACTATGCAGACTATTTATTTATTTCAAAAATGGTCTGGCAAAGCTTGGTGATTAAGGCACTCAACTCGCAATCTGAGGGTCGTAGGTTCGAATCCCATTACCGTAAATGCTCGTCTTTTCAGCTGAGGGGGCATTATAATGTTCCCACTAGTCGTTGGTAAAGAGTAGGCTAAGAGTTGGCGGTGGGTAGTATTGAGTAGCTGCCTTCCCTCTTGTATATCACTTCAAAATTATGGACAGCTAGCGCATATAGCCATCGAGTATCTTTGTACAAAAATAAAAACAAACAGACAAATAGTTATTGTGTAGTACATGCAGGAAAAGCTGAAATACTGTTCGCCAAAATAAGTTCATATCAACATTCGATTTTAGTCCAAAAACAAGTAAAGACTAGAGACCGGGCGTGTCTTAGTCGTAAACCCAGACTTTGAATCCGAGGATTCTTGGTTCGCGACCAGTTGCCGTACAAACGTGCTTCGCATTTTGGTAACGATGGTGCATTATAAGAGTGACGGTCATATTCGACTAATTGGTCAAACAATAGTTTTCAAAGAGCTGGCAGTGAGTGGTGTTGACTAGTCGTTTACCTCACGTCTATCAATTCAAAGACATCTACACCCTGGAACGAATAATGGAATTGACCATTACATTATAACGTCCACACGGCTGAAAGGGCGAAAACATACGGGGACAGGATTCGAACTTGCGACCTTCAGATTACAAGTAGAGTGTTCTAACTACCAGGACATGCCAGGTCACCAGAATAACCAGAAGTCCAAATCAACAACGAGAACAAGTATGAATGTAACTCCACTGTTCGAAAGAAACAAAATATTATCATAGGAGTAAATACAGTACCACAGGGTTCCAAGTTGTGTATATAAAACATAAGCACTATCAAGGCAACGTAGATGTCCGTGTAAAATAAAGATTGATAGATTATCTTGACTCAGTCCACCGCGGGGAATCGAACCCTCGATTTTAAGTTTGTACTTCTGTAAGCTTACCGCTGACTCATTGGGAAACAATTCTGATGAGACATAAAACAGCTTTTGACGAAATAAAAACTAATTACCATATATATTCAATACAAGCTTTTATGAATGAAGAGAGGTTGAGAATATACTGACAAATATATTTTTTTGAATTATACAACCAGGAAAGGAAATCTGTAAAAAAATAAAAACTAAAAGCAGTAATATTTCATTATCATAAAGTGTCCAAAAATGAGATTAACAAACCTAATAACGAAAATAAACAATTTTGTTAGCGTAAATCTCCGACAATTTGTATATCCCTCAGGGGATTTCTGATTTTAAACTACCTCTATGCGGGGGATATTAGTTCAATAATCATATTCTAAAACAACATTAAGTGTATTTTAACACCCACCTTCATGAATAATGAAAACATATATATTTAGTTGTTTATACTGTCTTATTTGGAGCTTTCGATTACTTATTTTAGGCTTAACATGTCAACATTATTTTAGTAATATTTAGTTTTCAGTAAAGGAACTACTACTACTCCCAGGTGAAATGGATATTATTTACAGAATATTTATGAAACTGAAGAAGAATCACATACTTGAAGTATTTAACACTACTGGTGTAGGGTCAAACCTTAAGGTTGCAGCAATTCGTAAAAAGCTACTGAGCAATGTAAACAAAAAGTAAGAAAATGTTTTACCTTTTGAGCAACAAACACTTCATATGTACAACACAATCCAACCACAGTAATCCCTTGTTCTTTACACAGCGTGGCTATTGTCATTAGAAAAATACTCTCCAAAAATGGAGGCCATTCTGAGAAACAAAATAATAATAATTACAGAATGTTTGGCTACAAAAAATATATAATAATATTTCGTAATGTAATTTTCTATGGCTTGTTTAACGTACATATTTTTTCTTTTATTTAGAAAACATACCTTCAAAATGGCGGTCATTTTTTTTAAAAACATTGCAGGATTGTAGCTACAAAAAAATAATATAAATTTGATCTGTTTCACAACTTTTTTTAACTTCTATTAAATGGAATCCCTTTTGTTTAGTTACATACTTTCCGACTTACAAGTGGGTAATAAGATTTTGGCAACACATATAAAGACATTAGTATTGTTTTATAGAAAAAGGAAGTTCCAAATATATTGTACAACCAGTTTCAGATAGAAATGAAAAGAATTCACTACTGAAAACGTCAAGTATGGATTACAGTATGTGATAGTACACTTGAAGATAATTCCAAACACTTATATGTCACTAGTGACGAATAATTACATACATCATGTAATGAGAAAACATGCCTGTTTTTGTGCATATTGTATATGCTACTCGCCCAGAAAAGGCAATACTCAAAAAGAAAACAATAACAAACAAACTATACTTGAAAACAATATTTTATCTACAGTAACGGAAGTAGTTATGGAAACACATAGGCTATCCACATACACGAGTCCTAAACAACGAGTGACTGACTATACAGTGAATGTTTTTATGTTACAAAACATTATCGGGGAAAACAAAGTAAAGTTTATAACTTGTATAATGCATTATTATTTTGTATACAAGTCTTTGTACAGAGCACTACACCTTGTACCTCTGTTTCCATACAGTTTATTAATGTATGATTGGGGAATATTGTTCCAAGTAGCTTATGTTATTCCCCACAATTTTGTATACAAGTCTTTGTACAGAGCACTACACCTTGTTCCTCTCTTTCCATACAGTTTATTAATGTATGATTGGGGAATATTGTTCCAAGTAGCTTATGTTATTCCCCACAATTTTGTATACAAGTCTTTGTACAGAGCACTACACCTTGTTCCTCTGTTTCCGTACAGTTTATTAATGTATGATTGGGGAATATTGTTCCAAGTAGCTTATGTTATTCCCCACAATTTTGTATACAAGTCTTTGTACAGAGCACTACACCTTGTTCCTCTGTTTCCGTACAGTTTATTAATGTATGATTGGGGAATATTGTTCCAAGTAGCTTATGTTATTCCCCACAATTTTGTATACAAGTCTTTGTACAGAGCACTACACCTTGTTCCTCTGTTTCCGTACAGTTTATTAATGTATGATTGGGGAATATTGTTCCAAGTAGCTTATGTTATTCCCCACAAT